TCATGCCGAAGTCCAGGAGGGAGGCCTGAGATGGATTGGCTGGGCGTTTGTTGGATGAGGTGGGTGTGGGGGGGAGAGGGGGGGATGAAGCCTGCTGGGCGAGTTGGTTGTGTGCGTCAGCAAGCTGTTGCTGAAGCTGGAGTATGGTGGCCGCGGAGGCCGGGTCGGCCGTAGTGGTGGGTCGGAGGGAGATGAGGAAGTCGAAGATCTTGCTGGTGAGTAGCTTCATGGCTGCTGGTTTGGTGGTCGAGGCGCCCTCCTGCGTGGCTACATGGAGGGCGAGGGCGTCCAGGTCGAGGTGCCGTTGTCGGATTTGGCTGAGTAGTCCAGCAGCAAACACTGATTCCGGCATCGACTTTGCGACAACGATGCGGACTTCGCCTCCGTGGGCGAGGTGACGCAACCACCAACTGTTCCACTGTTCGTGCATGAGGTGGAGGAGGGGGACGCGAGCGATGTCTTGTCCCTCGATGCCCATTTGCCGAGTAAACGCGGTGTGCGTTATGACCTTGGGCAGGTCGTACCCCGCGACGCGGGTGGTGTCGTAGTGATCGTCGCCAGGGTTGAACTCGGTTGGTGTTGGGACTGAGTGGATGGGTCGAAGGGCCGGGGGAGGTTTGGATTGCGAGGCGGTGGAGGGGGAGGGGGAAGGGGGAGGGCGGGAGGAGGGGCCGGGGGGAGGGGGGGGGGAAAGGGGTTGCCGCCGGGAGGGGGGGGGAGAGAGCCGCCAAAGGAGGGTGGACGAGGGCCGGGGTGTGGTGGGTAACGGGGAATAGGTTGGCCGTAGGTCTGACAGGGAGTCGGATGTGTAGCTGGCGGTGCCGATGCCGTGGAAGAGCATCCGTAGGAAGGCCCGGACAGGGCCCCGCACGGGTTCCCGGCCATGTTGTTGCCGTACACGATGCCATGATGATGGGATGCCGTGGGCGAAGGCTGCGGTGGTAAGTTTTGCCTTTGGAGCGCCGTAACCAAACCTCGAGGGGGTTGGAAAGCCATGAGAAAACACGGGGGAAAAGGAAATGTTCGAACCAAAAGCTGGTGAGCGGAATCAAGCGGGTAAGGTCACAAGGTGAGAGAACGGTCGCGGAAAGGCAGAACAGCAAAGCAAAGAAAAAAGGCGATCAAACAGTGCACCAATTCTTTTCCTGGTTGGGTGGAAGATGGTACACTTGCGCCCCGCTAAGCCGGGCGCTGCAGCGCGATGCCTCTCAGCATCGCAAACTTGGAGTGAAGGCACCACTTTTTGCCTCGGCGGCATGCGAAGTGGCGCCGCACGTTGTGTTGATCCTCGTGGCTTCCCCCGGATTCGAGGATTTTGTGCTGATTGATGGAGCGTAGTTCCCCAAAAGCGATGGCGCCGAGTTGAGACTTTCCGATTGTAAAGTTCTGCAAGAGCTGGCCGAGCGTGTCGGGCGTGCATGCCGTGGGGGTGGCCTGAGCGTAGCATCCAAAGCTCGGGTAGTCATGGTTCTCGGGCCTCCAAGCAGCGGGTCGGATCATGTTCTCATGGCACATGCGGCGCACTCGATCCGGGGTGGTGCCGTGCACATACATGACAGCGTGATGGGAGGCCGTGCCGGATCCAGCTTCCGGGTCTCCGCCAGCAACTGGCCAAGGATGAGGTCGGGGAAACCAAGTGGTTGCGAACACCATGCCGTGTGATTCCCGTCCCAAGAGGTGGTAGAAGCTGGGATCGAACGGTATGGGATCATCCGTGTCCATGGTTCGCAGTTCCCAGCATTCCGCGAGGAGATCGGCATGTGAAGGTGGCAAAGCAGGGTCCAGGTCCATCAAAATGGCCTTAGTCTGTTCCACCCTGGAGATGTCCAAGGCTGGAAGCGGGTCCAGCTCCCCCAACTCCCTAGGCGTGGGAACTCGCAGCGGGTCAGTCTTGGCCGTGTCCATGACGTTTCTCCATAGATCAAGCCACCGGTTGTCGGAAGTGGTGGTGGCATTGATGTCCGCCTCCGATGGAGGGGGATCCAAATCACCGGTGTTGTCGAAGGGGGGTTGGGGAGGGTGAGGAGTAGCCGGCGTGGGTCGGGGAGGGGGAGGGGGAGTGGAAGTGAAGGCCGCCGCAGGTGCTGGGTGAGGGGGCAAGCTAGTGTTGTGGTGGCCGGTGCGGGAAGTGGGGTGGGGTTGCTGCCCATGGTGCTGCAGTGACCAGGACGGTCGTTTGCCCTGGTTGTTTCGGTGGCCGGTGTGGCTGGCGCCATGGTGGTGCATGTCCCAGCGGTTTTTGTTCTGTGGTGGGTATCCCCACGATTGGTTCCGCCAGTGTGAGGAGGACCATTGAGACTTGTTGGAATCCTTCCCGGAAGTGCGCCAGGAGGTGGAATCATGAGTAGTGTGAGTGGGTCGGTGCGAAGTCGTGGCTCTGGGTGCAGGGGAGTGTCGATGGTGGGACCTGTGTCGGGGGGAGCGGGAGCGGAGGGAGACAGTGGAGTGGTGTGCACGTCGGGAGTGGTGGAAGTGTCGGGAAGGGGAACGTGACCTGCTGTAGCTGCGGGATCGTCGGGTGTCGTGTCGTCGGTGCGACTTGTTGTGCCTGCGATGGTGGCTGGTGTGGGAGTGGGAGTGTCGGTGCTGTCTGTGGCGGGAACGGGATCTGCGAGAGTGGGGATGGTGCCGAGTGTCCGGGGGAGGGTGGTTGGTTGAGGAGGTAGCGGCAGGAGCCGCAGCGGCAGCTTCGGGCGCGCGCGCCGGCTGAGGCTCGGGCAGTGAAGATGGCATGCTGCTCTGAGTCATGAAAGGCATGATGGTGCCAGGTGCCAAGTTGCCGTAATTGGGAGGGCCACCGTAGGGCATCATGGCCATCGGGTTGCCAAAGTTCGAGAGGCCGCCGTAGGGCATCATGGGGAAAGGTGTGAAGGATGCCGTCTGCGAGTTGGGTGACGGTACAAGGTTCATGGGCTGCGTCATCTGGGATGACAGCTGCAAGTTCGGTCCACAATTGCCTGGTGAGCCGGACGCGGTGCCGGTCGCAATGCTGTGCAGGAGCGAATGCATCATGTCATAGAGCTGGTGTCCAGCCATCTCGCAAGGGAGAGAGAAGGTTGGAAAGGGGTGAAACAAAACCACAACTGCGGCAAAAATGCGTCAATGGTGCAAATGCATGCGAGCAAAAATGCGTCAATGGTGCAAATGCATGCGAGCACAAAGGGGTTCTCAGAGGTGCCTGTCAAGTGGCCTCATGAAAGTGCCTCATGTGGCTATGCCGATGGCAGAGTTGGTGTATGACCAACTCGTCACTGGCGCATGAAGCTTAGGAACCTGAAACCTCGTGGGTGCAGCCTTGCTTCAAAGGCAGGCAGTGCAGGCAGTGCAACGCACATGAAACCAGCAGAGCACCATTTGGGTGCGGAATACCTTAAGACCTCAAGCTGCAGCCTTGATCGTGGTCAAACGCGCTGAACGGCAGGTTGAATTTGAACGTATGAATCTGAACTGAACTCATCCGAGACGAAAGCTTCCATAAACACCACGAATTGCAGAGTTGGTGTATGACCAACTCGTCACTGGCGCATGAAGCTTAGGAACCTGAAACCTCGTGGGTGCAGCCTTGCTTCAAAGGCAGGCAGTGCAGGCAGTGCAACGCGCATGAAACCAGCAGAGCACCATTTGGGTGCGGAATACCTTAAGACCTCAAGCTGCAGCCTTGATCGTGGTCAAACGCGCTGAACTGCAGCTTGAATTTGAACACTTGAACGGTCTTCCCCTCGCAGGGGGCTCCCGCATGTGGCGAGTCCAGCCCACAGCGCCATGTCGGACAGGCCGTGGGTAAACACACTTATCTCGAGAGGCTTCACTAGCCGAGATGAAAAACGCAGTCAGTAAAAATGCTTGAATGCAAACGCAAATCAACAGGTCACAACATCGACACCGAACAGGAAGCAACAGCGACAAACAGAAACCGCAAAAGGAATCAGGAAAGAGGGTCAGGAAATAGGCAGGTACGCCGGATTGATCAGATCCGGTATCCACCGAAATGCCGTAGCTTCATTGGACTGGATAGGCAAATCGGCTCCAGTCCCCCTGCAATGTGGAATTTCCGTCCGTGCTCCAGGACGCTTCACACACACACGAACACACACACACACACACGAACACACGCACACACACACGAACACACACACACACACGAACACACACACACGAACACACACACACACACACACGAACACACACACACACACACACACGAACACACACACACACACGAACACACACACACACACACGAACACACACACACACACACACGAGAACACACACACACACACGAACACACACACACACACGAACACACACACACGAACACACACACACACACACACGAACACACACACACACACGAACACACACACACACACACACACACACACGAACACACACACACACACACGAACACACACACACACACACGAACACACACACACACGAACACACACACACACACGAACACACACACACACACGAACACACACACACACACGAACACACACACACACACACGAACACACACACACACACACACACACACACGAACACACACACACACACGAACACACACACACACGAACACACACACACACACGAACACACACACACACACGAACACACACACGAACACACACACACACACACACACACACACACACACACACACACACACGAACACACACACACACACACGAACACACACACACACACACACAAGAACACACACACACACAAGAACACACACACAAGAACACACACACACACACACAAGAACACAAACACACAAGAACACACACACAAGAACACACACACACACACCACACACACACACACACCCTATGTGCTTGCATGACAGCTTTCGCCGTTCAGTCGCAGTGTTCCTTTCAAGCCCGGAGCGGGCTATTAAAACACAGCGCACATGTCTTGACGCAAGGATTCCGAGCCACTGAGTTACCACTCAGCCAGCCAGCAGATGCATGGAGATCAGTCAGCTTCCGCAAAACCAGCTTCCGCAGAACCAGCTCACGCCTGCCAGAGGCTCTCTAGCGGAGAGGCAGGGAGAACAGGGAAGCGGTGTTGCTCTATCAAAGCTTGAACTTGAATATTTTGTTTGTATGCCTCTGACAACCTGGTCCCAGCAACGAGTAGTTTGAGTTTTCATTGGTTGGCACCACTCATGCCTTGGCTGGTTGCCCTACAGCTGGTAGCATCTTGTTGTATCAGATCTTGCAGTCGGCTTCCGGCCATGCTGCAAGTGAGCCAAAATGTGGCTTTGGACAGTAGATTTCTGGATGCCAGGATTTGTTTGTGGCGCCTTTGGGTTCAAGGCATGTATATTCGGTTGCGCTGTCAGGTGCGATGACCGCGCCTGATGCCACTGCTGGAGCGCTCAGCTGAGCAGCGAGCATGGGAGCCACTGAAAAGGACCCCTGAAAGAGTTAAGCGCACCTTTGGCTTCGGCGATCAGAAGGGCCCTGCATTGCCCGCTTCATTGTCGCCTTGTTACGGACGGACGGACAGAACACCTGATGTACTTTCTTTCTCAGGAGAGATCCCAACCCCATAAAGGTTTCACCATTCCAAGAACCCCAAGCCTATTCTTCTAAGAAGGTTCTGAAAACCTCTGTGTGTGGGTGGGGGGGAGCCTTTGCCTTCCCCTTACTAGGCAAGGCAAGTACTTTGATCGCACCAGAGCAAAGCGGACTTTCAGTGACGTTTTCTTGAGTCTTGAGTTCCTTGGCCCCCCCGGACTTCTCAAGGCCAAGCCGACCGGCGAGGCGCAAGGGTGCTCATGCAGTGGGCGTGCACATGAGGACGCCCCAAAGCAGCTTGCAACAGCTCAGCAAAACGGTAATTTCTTGAACAGACATGACCGAAGACACACAGTTCGCTTGCACGAAACCGCGATTTCTAGTCGCAGCCTGAAATGCAACAGTTGGAGTCTTTGATAGTTGGAGTCTTTGCACTCGCAACTCTTCCCAAGCTCTGCAGCACCTGGTCTCATCCCCGGGCACAAACTTTGGACCGAGGGGAATAGCTCAAGGGAGCTGCTGGGTCGATTCTCAGACCTTTTGGAAGTACTTGCACGCGCGCGTCCGCAAATGATGGCGGTAAGTTGCTGCAAAGGTTGGGCAATTGCGCGTGAAGCCTCACTCACGCGTGAAGCCTTGCTTGCAGGGTGCGGCTGCAAAACGGTGTCGCACGCAGGCGAAACACTCGCTTTGAGGCAACCAGAAGCCAAAGTCGTGCTAGTCGTTGGATCGCAATTGCCAAGCCCCAACTACCTAGGTGAATGGAATTGCCATGGACGTCTACCAGTGAGTGCAAGTAATGTGACTGGCAACACCCGAGCCCCACGCCTCCACCCCAAGGGCACAAGGGTTGCACAGCGCCTCAGGAAGGGTCGTGCAGCAAGTGACCCGAACGCTAGCACCCCAGGCCCCCTCCCCACCCCCAAGAACTGAAACTGGACACCATGCACTGGGTTGCTCTTCGGTTTGACCAAACCAATCTTGTAACCTTTTGGCAGAATGACTGTCTCCTCGCCAATAGGCAAAATGAAGACTTTCCCAGGTAGTCAACAACCAGTCCATGCGCAGCGCATGCACGCCAGTCCACAGATGGTTTCTACTTGGGGGTGGAGGCCGCTGGGGATGATGTTCAAACGAGGCGTTGTGTAGAAGCCTGTAAGTTACCGGGTCACAACTCCCAACGCAGAGGTGCAAAAGAAACTGATTAAGGCAACAATACTTGTGACGGACAAGCGTCAACCGTGCATCGTTTCTCTTTGGACAAATCCATGTGGTGGGCCACTGGCCGCTGGTGGCTGCTGGGATGGCAGCCATGTCAGGAGTGGCAGATCCGTGCGAGCCTCAAGTTCCGCATGTGGCAAAGCAGGCATGCTCCGGATTCTGTCTTTCCGCTGCCTTCGAAAGGACTTAAACGCAAGAGGTGCTTGATGTATTTCGATTAAGCATCCCTAGGTTCACGTCTTTGCATGGGCACCCCAACAGTGGAAGCATGGGCATGCTCATGATGGTAGAGTCCAGGCCACCTGTTGCGTTCTACTTCGGCGGGAAAGAGAAGCAAACATGCTCCCAATTCCTGGCAGCTGAAATTCTAGTAACACCGACGTCCAAGTCTGACGGGCAGCGTAGGTGTTTTCCAGCTAGCATACCTAGTGGCCAACCTCTTATGTGGCCAGCCCAATTTTGGGCTGCTCCGAAATTGCAGGGAAAGCAAAAGGATAAACCATTTTCTGGCACATTTCCACTGTTTAGTTTCAGGTCCCATTTTGCACCTTCATTGAAATAAGCACATCAACCATCCCCTGGTTTTCGTCCTTTTGGGCAATCAAAGGAAGGAACCCTGTGCAGGTGTGCTTTCCAAGAAGCATCCCTCAGTTCCCCTCAAAAGCAACCCTCAACACAGTGCACCCCTTACAACGACATCCGTGTTTGGAGAAAAGGTGGCCTCCCACATCCATTTGGGTTTGTCTCAAAAAGAATTGGGGACCTCAGTACTTGGCGGGTTTTTCTTTGGTCTCGCCAAGTTTCAGGCACCGACCCTTTCAGGCACCGAAGAGTAAACAGCGGTTTTTGACCTTAAAAAAGCGACCCCCAAGTTTCAGGCACCAAGCCTTGGGGACAAAAAAACCCAGGCCCTGGCTTCTCGTGGCCCGAGCGAGGTCACGAGCAGCTGATCCGGGAGATCCGCCAGCTCCAGCGGAATGTGCTCAGTGTGTCTGGGCCCAGGCCGTTTGGCCAGGCGAAGAAAAGGCCGAGGAAAACGCCCGGGCGGCCATGTTGCCCGTGGAATCTACCTGGATTTTAGGTGTACACTTCTACCATTTTTTTGGTAGAATCAACGTTCACGAGGTGGACACGGCGCTGTTTCGGCAAACGTCTTCTTCTTCTTCTTCTTCTTCTTTTCCGGGGGTGTCCGGACATGGGGGCCATGTTCTTTGGAACCCCCAGCTTCAAGCTGAGGCCCGATTTCGGGCTGACGCAGGACTTTCCGCGAGCCGGCTGAGGGAGCCCAAACTGGACCCGCGTGGCCTGATCGAAAACTGCCTGGTTCATCCAGTCGCAAATTTGCTTTTGAGTTTGGGTGTGTTTGTTTTGAGAGAGCATGGTGGCATCTGAGAAACAGGCACATGGACATCGAATTCCCCTGCAAACACGAGCCGCAGCGCTTTTCCTTGCGAGCACTGGGCAGCACCCAGTATCAGTTGTGGTGGATTAGCGGTGTCTTCCCCTTTCAAATGATCAACAAGCCCAGTAGTGCATTCGTTTGGTACTTGACTGCGGGGTGCCTCGCTGCCTGCTTCATGTCGTTTGGCCCCTGCCTGCGAGATGCTGCCCTGTTTCCACCCGTTGTCCGGCGCCTCGTTGCTTGACAGGAGAAACCAGAACGCGATCAAAGAGGCAAGGTGGAGGCTGGGCTGCCTGGGCCTAGTGAGAGCTCTTGTTTCGGGTGTGGTTGTTGGCTTTGAGATTGACAAAGCCTTTGCTTCCTCCCTAGCGGGGAGCGGTTGCAGTTTCATGTCCCCACGAAGTGGCATTATCATCGCGTTTTTCTCAGGGTCACTTCAGGATTCGGGTTTATCTCATGCGATTTCTATGGAGAAGGTACCTTTGGTTGTCTTTTCAATCATCCCCGGCCCAACACGGTACACACATCCACCTTCCCCCAGAAGCTGTGGACAAATCGCGGAGCGCTGATGGGACGGTCGACAGTTTTGCAGGTGGCCAAGGCAGAAGGCGGACGGGGCAGAGCGAGTGTTGGCGTTTGAAACGGAATCGACAGGCGGCCACTTTCTCAATGGCCAGCCTTGGAAGCCACTGATGGCCCAACATCGGGGGAATTTGAGGAGTGTCTCAAAAGAATGGGTGACAATGATGAAACCAACGCCAAGGTGAAACATGTACCAAGATGCGCGACCGCCAGGAACAATGCTTGGGACGTGGAGGAGCCAGGCGCTGTGCTTGCGAGCGTTTGCGCCCATGGCTGTGTCTGTGTCTGTGTGTGTGTGTGCGGAGTGTCAGATTCACCCTGACACCACTTTTCTCGTCGCGACTATGTTTTTCAGCAGGGGGCAGTGGCCCACTCATGAGCCCACTGCCAACGAAGCTGCTCATGAGTTGGGAGGGTATCCGGACTGATCATCCGGACGTACCTGCGTTGCAAGCGTGTGTGATTTGTTTTGCTGTTGATTTGTTGACTCCGGTTGTGATGTGTTGCCGCTTTATGCTCTTCGTCAGCCAAGTGAAGCCATCGGTCTCGCCACTCGAAAACCCACCCACTCGAAACTTACAGGTTGTACTCGAAAGATGAGATCTCTCCTTTAGGAGATGATGTGTGATTACCCCGTCTCGGGGGACCCGCGGGCGTACCCATTGGACCCCTGGCCAGCCTTGCCGGAGAATTTGACCTCAACGTTCTCATCACAGACCAGCGGAATTTCACATTTAAGCAGGCACAAGGTTTCACGAAAGGGAAGACAGCCACTCTATCATAGAACGTTTCACCCAACATGTACTATGGCTGGCGTCGGGCTTCTCATGCACTTGCTTGGTTTCTTGCGCGCTTGCTTGGTTTCTTGTGCTCAAGTGTGTTTTTGGCTTGATTCTTTGTCTCTATTGACCATGCCTCGCCGTGAAGAACGTGATCGCTCGAGACCTCGGCGTCGGAGAGACAGGAGCTACACTCCACCTCACCAAGTACGGCGGGGCGCAGAACGCGAAGAAGAAGCACAAACCCTGCCAATCCACCATTTGTGGCTCAGAACTCCGTTCCATCAGCACAGATGAACTACATGTCCACCGCTCCATCAGATTCCTGGTTATCATCACTTTCCGCCTTTGCAGCCCATGCCTGCCGCGTTTCCTCGGAGCCAGTTGCGCGTGATCCTTGTCCACAGCAGCCGTGTTCCACCACGTCATCTCATCCTCAAGCGCCTGAACCTCCTCAAGTACGCCTTCCAATTCAACAAAACTCAGCATTGGCTCCAACCTCCTTCTCATTGGACGCAGGTGATGGCACGTTGGATCACAATCCAGTTTTTCCTTCACACTGTCAGAGACCGTGGCCACTCCCCACAACAACAAGCAGAACACTGCGGGCATGGACGTACGCGATGCGTTTGATTCAGGTCATTCACGGTGGGATCTCGAACTTGCTACTTGCTCCAAACTTCTTCGGCGATCTCAGGCTCTCAACCTGCTCACCCTTGAGAAGGACTTGGCCGCATCGATGGGGCTTAGCATTGATGACTTCAACCAGCGGATCCCAGCGGATCAAGGTTCATGAACACTTGGCAAACCTGGTTTTGGAGTTTCTCTCCAAACGTCACCAGACCATTTCCACCAAGCGCACTGAGGATGCCAATCGGACTTCTACACCCCCCACATCGACTACGCGCAAGGCAGACTCGGTGCTCATCACTCCGCCGCCCACTTCTCATTCGGGCTCATCTACGCCTGGCAGTTCCCTTCCTACGATCAGCGCGGCAGCCCTGGATGGCCGTTCCTTTCATGTCACAGCGAAGAAGTCTCCCATCATTGAGTCGCTCCACGGGGTGTCAGCTCGGCCTAACAAAGTACCAACTTCCTTCCGTCACACAATCATCGCCATCCTCTTCAGGGATCCTGCACCAAGCCAGTACAACTGAGATGCGCTCCACCCCATCTCTTCATCGGCCCCCGCATCTCTCGGCATGGACTGCGGCCTGGAATAGTTGCCGAATACTGGACGCCGGAACATGGATCGAGATCGCGATCTCCACCTCCTGCTCGCACGAGGCCGATGGATACTACTTACACCTGGTTTGTTCCTCTAGAACATCTCGCTGTCCACCTGACACACCTATGGAGGCTTCGCGTCCTGCTCTTGGAGACCGCCCTCCATCAATCAGCGTTGACTTCACATACACCACGCAATACGCCAGTAAGCCAGGACAGTTACCTCTTCCTCATCTTCAACTCTTCAACCTCTGAAGATTCGATCCTTCTTCGTCTGCGAGACCACATGGCCCACCCAGCCGTTTACAGTGGCACTCAGGAACGCCTACCCCCAACCATTTGTGGCATTCAGAAAGGGTGGGACGAGCCGATCAAGCGCAAAACTGACAAGGGCTCCAGGCCTACGTACAAATCCATCGCTTCACACATGAAGAAGAATACGGAGGCGGTGAAGCATGCTTGGAAAGTATACCAGGAGCTGGTCGCGTACTTGTGCTTCTGCTTTTCATGCCTTGCTTGGTTTGCTTGTTTGCGCTTGCAGACATGATGGATCAAAGTGTTCAGACTCTTGTTACTTGGACGCATGGGAGACATCCTTTCTTGGCTGCAATATCATGGACCAGCACATGAACCGGATGCGCTTCAACCTCTTCTCCCACCGCCCCCGCCTCCTACTCCGGCTTCATTTGATTTCCGGGATGCACCAACCGAGGTACCACTCCCTCCGCCGCCACCTCCACCACCACTTCAACGGTTACACCCTAACTGGATAACGCGCGAGAGTGGATACAACCTTACCGGATGTGCGCCTTCAGCATCAGCTCCTACTTCTCAACGTTCACAAAGCAGCCCGTCGCCAGTTACCGCAACTTTGCGTACGCGGCTCAGGAGTCCCTTGGCTTCTCATCGATCGCGGACAGACCTCGGCATTGGAGGAGTCACGTCACATCGACCAAATCGAGCTGCGCTCGCCGACCTCGCGCTGTCTTCCTGCCCAGCGCGGACTCCATGCGCACATTATTGTCATGCCAGACTCATCAATGGCCGTCGTCACGATGGTCACTTCCATTGCCGATGCTGGGTCTTGCCGATGTTATATGGGTTGTCTGGGTAGTCCTCCAGAAGGCTTTTTCAGCAAGGTGGTGGGCACTTCAGCGCATGTCGGATGCTAAGTTTTTTTCGAGGCCCAGGCACAAGCCCTTGCTGGTGGGACATCATAGCGGGAAACAGGCGGGGTTTGCGTCGGAGGATAAAGATGTTTCTCCATCGGCTGAGCCTTTGGTTTTGCTCAACAAGGCTGGCCTGCGCAACAAACAGTGCAAAGGGCGAATACGGACCATGATTGATGCCTCGGCTTTCGGGGAAGACTCCCCTTTGCTTGCATAAGTGAATGTGTGGCGGTTGTTAGCCGGAGGCCGCCGAAGTTGCAAGACCCTCAGTGTTTGGTGAAGGTGGTTGTACCCCTCACCCAAGTTCAGATCGAGAACCTGTTGAAATTAATAACGGCCTTAGCTTTGCAACGGACAAGGTTGGGAGCGAGAATCTTGCAAAGTCTTGCATTTGCTTGCGTCATGTTGGGCTGGCGTGGCAATTTACAGGCGACGCTTCCAAAAGCCGTGCTGCAGAGGGATTGGGAATTTCTGCAGGCCAAGAGGCTTGCCCAAGGCTGGGAGTGCACAGCAGGGTACTCTCCGTTTGCAGGCGCCTGGGGGGAGGGGGGGGGGCAGGGCGGCTCAAAAATGCTCTTCCCAAGTCTCAGAAGGCCAGCTTTGCCCATCAATCTTTGACAACTTGAGATGTCTCACGTGCCGACTTGCAAGACAATCAGCTCCACAGCAAGTGAAGGTGGTTGTACCCCTCACTCATACTTCTATTGCGAAACGGCTGCTGGAGAAGGCCAAGACGGCCCTGTCTTAGTTTGGTGGTGTGTTGGCACTGCCTCGGAGGCACCTTTGCTTTAAATGCGCGTTTCCCCCCTGGCCCGCCTGCTGCCCTGGCAGGACTTGAGGAGCAGATCTGGGTGGAGGAAAGTGGGCAAGGAGCAGTTTCCGGGCTGTTTTCTTCAAGCACTTTGCTTTCTGTTGCTGGCTGTTTTCACACACACACACACGTTTCTCATGTGAGATAAAACTTTTACGATAAAGACCATTAATTGACTTGAAGGGTTTTTGGCCTGCTCGGCAGAAGATAGGCGCCAGGAGGACCAATTGGCCGGCACTCCCGTTGGCAATGGCTGGGTCTTTGCTTTTGCCGCCATGAAAACAGCCAGACTAAGAAAACTTACTGCGAGCCCTTTGCAGGTTAAGCAGAACATGCAGCAAAGCGCGTGCGATGTGCCACAAGCAAGCAACACAATTATCAATGCAACGTTAGCTCTCACCATTGCGCAGCTCTTTTTTCCAACGCGGCAACGCAAGAGCTGGAGTGTCAATTGCTGCAGTCTTTCCATGCCCGGGTACCACCACGGGCCAATTTCTTCAAACGTCCTGTGTGGACTGCATTGCCTTGTCAGCAGCGGCAGCGGACACCATGGGATCGTCTGTGCTCCACAGATCTTGCGCGCGTCCCTCCTCTGCCGAAAGCTCTCCAATCGCAACTAAGGCTGCCAGCAACACCTTGCTCAAAACGTTGATGGACATACCATCCCCAAGCGCGCCGCCGACTTGCTGAGGCCCAAACCGCGTCAGCAATTTGTCGAGCAACTTGAGGGGCCAGCCTTGCAGCCGGCCGGCCTCCCGGGCAGAGAGGCGCCGTCTCAGCTTCGGCAAGTAGTAGCCCGATGGGTGCACCTTCAGGCGCGAGCGCGTGAGGCATGGGCAGACACAGCAGACCGAAACTTCGTGCTTTTGCTCGTACGTGGATACATCTGCGATCTCCGAGCCCTGTTCCACACATCCAGGAATTTGGACAAGGATCGCTTTGAATGCTGGATCGGCTTGGGCCAGCGAAACTTCGACTGCGTTGCTGAGCTTAGCACTGCGACAATGTAGACCCGCGGGCAAGATTGCGGAATGGCCATGGCATAGTCCTTTTCCGGACATTGCAGTACAAGACGTATGCTAAAGTCTTGAATACAAAGCCTTTGTATTCAAGACTTTAGCATACGTCTTGTACTGCAATGTCCGGAAAATCTCTTTGAAGAGTCTTGTGAACTCCTGGTGCTTCTTGCTAATATGTAGCGCACCCTGCTGTCGCGCTTCCCAAGCGCACTAAAAGAAGGACAGGGGTAACCTGCA